TCAATATCAGGAACTGGTTTACAGACACACTGTGTTTTGTCTTCACCACTGGAAAAGAGAGCGAATCGGGTCGTTCAGATATAAATAAATAAATAAATTTTATTTAATGCCAGTTTACAGGCATTGTCAAGGGAAGCGATTAAACATAAATCCGACCAGCAGTGAAAAAAAAAACTCCTGAGCTAAAGGGATAAAAATATAGTTGATGGTGGTTTTTATGGTTTGGAGGGCTCAGGAGAAAAAACTGCCGGCGGTGGTAGAATATCGACCGTCAAGAAGGGGGGAGGTTGCACGGTATCGGAGGTTATCGGACGTCCAATTCCTTTCATGAAGCTGGGGATAGCCAAAGTAGAGGCGTTGAGGAACAGCTGGTGAGACCGGCCATAGTGTTCAGAGACCACAAACGCCATCGCTACGGTACAGTCGATCAGAGCTTTCAGCACCCAAAATTTGTGGGAGCTTTTCTGAATGCAAAAATCGAGTAATAGTTCTCTTAAATAAAGGATAATTTTGCAGAGGTTTCACACTCATGGGTAGTTTATTCCAAATAGCAATTGCATTTACAGAAAAGAACCGATGATATTTAACAGTACGTGCCAGAGGCAGAAATAAAAAGACCTCACGGTGACTGTTACGTCGTGGGGGTGACTGTTACGTCGTGCCAGGGGGTAAACGCGGAACGCACCCTGCCTAGGGCAATTGGAACACGTTAAATCGATTATGATGTAGTGGCATCCACGACAGTGTGTTATTCAAAGTTAAAAACGGACAGAAGCAGTCAGTTAAAGAACAATAGCAAACCACAACACTTGAGAGCAGGAGCTTCTTGCCAAAAACGCCTGTAGTCTCTGCCCCCAGTCGACGTGCACTGAAGTTGTACATTTTGCAAGGACCGAAGGAGGAGATGAAATTAGTATCGAGGATTTGGCCTTCAGCCTCCGGAAGGCGGTAGAAGCTGAATTTTCTGGGGGATAATTCCTTGTTGTTCTGTACAGTTCGCTGATGGTTCAGCATGAGCACAGAATTAGGCGGACGGGTGGGCGATCTGGTGTTTCAACCCGGCGGAACACGGATGAGTGGCGTTCGACGCATTGACGGTGATCAAATATTCTTTTTTACTTAAACCGCGCAGCGGTTCTGCTGACGCAAGGAGCAGGTGAAAGTAATTTTGGGTGCTGACCTTTGGTGGAGACTGTGATCATAGGTACAACGGACCGTTCGCCAGCAGTCGGGCAGGGTTAGCCTCGTCGCATTTAGCCGGATGGCCCAACATTTCACGGTGGGTTCCTCGCATTCACGTCAGCGACACCCAGTTTTTTACTGTGGGCAACTTCTCCTATCTAGGCAGCGCGCTCCCACGCTGAGTAGAAATCGACAACGAGGAAGCTCGCCGGATCTTGAAAGCCAACCAGCCTGCAGAACTCCGTATGTAATCGCCACGGTCTCCATCTCAACATGGCATGACAAAACCCCAAGCATGGTTTTCGAACGGACAGGAAGCCTTAGCATCTGCGAGGGGTCAGCCACCTCATTAGAATGGACAGTTAGCGACTATCGAAACGACTCTTCTACGGAATTGTCGCAACGGATGCTCGCGAAAACTCACGCAACCGGGACTGCCTTCCCTGTCTAAAAGATCGCCAGGGAAATAAGTTGTCTGATAACTCAGGCAAGGCGAACCTATTACCCGATTTCTTCACGTCTGTGTATGCCGAGGAGCCGGCCTTTGATAAAAGAGTCTATCCCCCAATTGTCCAATCAAGAAATACAGACACGGTAAGGAAAACTTTGAGTCAACTACAGCCCACTAAATCGCCTCATCCGGACGGCGTACTCGCAAAAATACTGAAAAAAATCCCTGACCAACTGACCTCTCCGTTATCCAGGATCTTCAAAACTTCGATGAAGACCAGGGCTCTGCCTAAAAGCTGGAGGCAGGACAACATAAGCACCATACGTAAGGGTGAAAAGAGAACATTCTCATATAGTTTCAGGCCAGTGAGTTTCACAAGCATCTGATGCAGGGTGACGAAAAAGGTAAGAAAAACGGAGCTGATGTAGCATCTTGATGAAAACAACTTGCTCAGTTTGTATCAGCATGGATTCCGAAGGGGTCGGTCCTCTCTTACTAACCTGTTGGTATTCATGGAGAGCTGGACGAAATCAGTCGATATGGGTCAATCAATCGGCGCCGTGTACGTTGACTTCAGAAAGGCTGTTGGCAGTATTTCACACAGACGACTTATATTTAAACTACGTCAAGTGGGCGTGAATGGAAATCTGCTGAAATGGTTGGCCGATTTTCTTACAGACAGATCTATGCGCGATCAGGAGATCCCTCCTCGATTTTGACGAAGAACTTTTCGGCCGAATATTTGGACCAATTGTTCGACCAATGTTGAAATATTGCGTTCAGACATGGTATCGCTGAACCAAACAAGATTACACTCTGCTGGAAAACTTTCCAAGAAGAACAACCTAGCTGGTCGGAGGATTAAGTCGATTACCTTATGCGAGGCGCCTGGAAAAGCTAAAAAATATTTCCTCTCATAGACAGTGCATAGGGAATATGATCATGGCCTTTAAGGTCTTCAGAGGGCTAGACTGTGCTCTTCAGCTTGACGATTTCTTCGAACTGGCGCGAACGACCAGTCTTCGAGGCCACCAAGACAAGTTGAAGATGAAATATGTCAAACTTGAAATGCGGACCACAATCTTCTCCCACCGGATGGCTGAAGGCTGGGACGATTTGCCGAACCCCGTTGTCCTGGCGGAAAACGTTGAAACCTTCATAAAAAGACCTGATAAATTTATGCTTGATGGTCAAACATTTACTCGTTATTAATGACTGGAATAACTGTTAGGTAAATATGTGTATGCTTTTCATGTGTCTATCTGTTAATAGGATTTTCCGAGGCTCTGCTTATATCCCTCATAAATACTGAATTATACCGAAAGAAGACCATACCATAAGCTTCAAAAGTACCTCGAAGAATTCGATAAGGCGATTACAAATCTACCCCAAAGCGTGGGAAGACCTCGAGCTTGATCCCTTAAATTGGGTTTGAGCAATGAATGCTGGAGCAGCAACCTGTGAGGCCAACCAGATTGCCGCTGCCAAAGCCAAAGGGGAGTTCGCAAGTCTCAAGTGCCTTAGATCCACAGTGTCAACACCCAACCTCTTCTAACATGCCCGCGCTGTCAACGAACACGGTCTCTTCACTTTAGACATCTCAAACCCCGGTGCTTTTAGAACCCAACAACTGCAACCGCTGCCTCCATAACTGCTCCCACCGTCGCCAATGCGACAAATCCTTTCGAGTTCCATGACGGCGATTTCTCTCATCACCGATTATCCCACTCCATAGACCTCATCACTGTCGATCACTGGCATCTTCATCATTTGTGCCACAACCTCCACGATGACAGCGAAGACTACTAGATCTCCCACTTCCGCCACCGGTGAGAACACTCCCAACGGCTCGTCAACCGCCTCCCTCACTATAGTCGGCCCCACCACCAGGGACGTGGACTTGATCCCAACCTGTCCTCATTGTGATCGCATATTCACCTCACACATCGCTCTGGTGGGTGCATGCGAATCCATCACACTGCGACAGGTTCACCATTGGCCTGTGTCCCCATATAGGCTCGTTGCATTCGCCTACACTATCCGTATAGTCCAAGCACATCCCCTCTCCATATGCGGCTTATTTTGGCATTCGAACTCAGTTGGATCTAAGCCGCCCGCTCCCTTTTTCTTATTGTATAAAATCTTGGTAAGTGCATGTGGAGGGTCAGGGGATGTGGTGGTACGCCCAGTTGCAGGTTTTCGTCGTGCCAGCCATCTGCTCCTTCTCCCGCCTCTGGTCTTCTTGATTCTTGACAACGGGAACCGTTTTGGAAGAAGGTAAAAGTGCGGTAAATGCTACAGAAGTCTACCACCACCATGTGATTGGTCATACGCAAGTCACCGTCCTTATTCCTACCCTGTTGTGGGACACACGGTGGACCTCATCAAAAATTGCGGTCAAACTCTCGGTCGGTTTAAGCACTAGTATGCTACAGAGAACATGTTAAACGTAGTTGTTTGCAAGTCTGAATGTGAATATAATTAACCGTGTTGAATGATTCGGAGATATTAAACAATCTCAGTTCCGCTAAGTTTATATGGTGGAGATTATGTGTGCACATTAAATTGCGATTTACTCTGCCGCCAGCGTAGATATGCACCCAGTCTTCAGCTATGATTACGGAAGTGTTCAGATGTATTTGAATTTGGGTATGTAAAGGATTAGTCTTTCAAGTCGTACCATGAGGAGGCGAGGCCAGTTATCCCTAGTTGCCCCACTCCTAGCCACATTTTTTGCGTTTTTACCGAGTGTGTTAGTGCCTAGTCCAGATTGTATACATTTGTCAATTCTACCCAAAAGCATCAAGACATTAAGAGATCCTTGATTCTCGGAAAGATCCCATGAGTTAAACGTTGCCGTTCTGCGTGACTTCGTACTTTAAACATTTAACCTAAACCCCGCCTGAATTGAGTGTGACCCCATCACCATATCGCAGCGATGGACGCAGTTGAAAGCGGTGAGGAGCCCGTGATCGTCTCACAGCCTGAGGATGACATAAACAAGGAAGAACTGGAGAAGGAACTGTTGGCGGTGTGTATATTCATTTAGTCTTTTACTGTGGTTGTAGACAGAGGAAGATATTCAGACGTTGAACGAGGCCCTAAATGTCAAACTCAAACGTCGCATAGAGATAAAGAAAAAACTCGGACATACCGATTTGTCCACCATTTCATTCGATGTAAAGGAAGAGCTTGCACGAATTGGGGAATCAGAAGCGTAAGTAAAGACCCATTTCGCCCCTCGTCACTCCCCGCAACACACATTCTTAGGTGTTTTTTGCCACTAAAATTCACTTTAGTCTCCCTGCCACTCATTTGACCACTTCTAGGTTCATTTCCCCTCCCGCCTTCACTTTTTGGCTGCGCAACTTCTAGGCTTGTATGGTCATTTTGCCCACCTGAGACTTCAATAACTCGTTTCGGCAATACGCATTGAGCTCGTTCAGATTTATCTTTGTTTTAGACAGAATTTTCTGAGCAGAAAGAAATGTCCTATATAGCTGAATAGTAGACTCGGCTCAAGGCTGACCTAAAAACAGATGTAGACACCTCCATTCTCTGCGTTCCGGTTTGTTACTGTAGCCTCGACTTAAATTTATCTGCTTGTCACATTCTCCAAAGCCTCACCACATTACTGCTGCTGACCTTCATATGTCTCGTTGTGAGATCGCCAATTTGTCCTATGTGGGTCAGTCGTTCTGTTGAGTCCGAAGTCGCCTGGAAATTTGGCTAGCTGATAACTACAGGTTACGAAACTTGGGTTTGCTAAAACCTCTTAACGGCCGGCAACCCCTCCCGCATCTTTGCTTATACGTGCTTTAAAGGAGCCTTTTTATACTAGTCAGATAATCGGGCTGAAAGTCTTGAGCAAATGTCGAGCCGCATTGCCCGCCTTCCTGGTCCATTCCAGTTCTTGTCTGCTGCCCTTTCTTAGGCGACAGGAATTTTCATAAGTAGGGCGTCTGGCCAATTTCCTTAAGGCATGCTTGCAACGTTGCTTGCCTGTCGAGTCCTCAAATAACTAACCATTAACCAGATCAACCGTTTAGTGGCATGGATGAGGGTGTTGACGTCAGTGTAACTCACTACTGGCAGTGTCTCGTCCCAGCTCGTTTTGTCGTGTATTCTTGAGACACCTGCGCGAAGACAGTTAACCTAGCTTTTTTTCTAAACATAAGAAGCTGGCAAATGAAACACATGGTTATGGTGACTGGACATGAGCTTCACACACCTGCTACATTTCCGATCGCTCATTTTTCTGAAACGGTGTAAAGTTGTTGTTTAAAATCAGTTATCGTATGGTTTGCGGATATAGTAACTCTCCTATCCACAACGGAGATAATTAAGAACATGATCGCATATCCGAAATCCGTACACAGCCCCAGTCCAAGCTCAAACCATTGCATAAGAACAGGAAATTCCGCACCTTTACAGCAGCTTACATTCTTGAACGCTGACAAGGTCATTTTAAATTGGCCAGTCGATTCATATCCCACGACCGTGGATAAAATTGCAACGCTTTTTTGCAGAGGCAGACTGAACAAGCCAATATTCGTAAAGTGTTCGTCTCTTCTACCGGAGTTTAGACTTCGGTCCTTATCCTCTAATCTCCTTATTAATTTTCTTGCACCTTTTACAAATGTCCCGTTTCCGGGAGAAATCCACTGGTAACATTTAGTTTCAGAACGCATTGATTTAGTGAGTACGCTGCCATCGGCCGCCAGGATATTTATCTTAGTGGTTTTCCACGTTCCTTTGAATGTCCACACAAGCTGGACTAAACCCGTGTATCTAGGAAGTCATGTCCACCAGTTTGTATGCACGCTAATTTTCGCAATCTAATCCGCCTCTATGATACGAGTCCTCGTAGAATACTGGTCATCAAATTGGAAATGACAAATTCTTCCAGATGATGTGCTGGATGCTTTGGCATACACATCCCTCTTATCAGCCGCGATACTTAAATCAGGGCAACAGGATATCGAATTGCCTCAAAGTACATTTAGAACTATGGCTGCCTGATTACGGGACTTTTGCGTTGAAGGAGTTATTTATCAGCTCATATCTCAAGGCATCAGAAAGGTCATTGAAGTCCCCGAGGATTATGGCTTTTTGTAGCCCAAAAGAAGTTCCCGGCTCTTCAGGGGGCCGCTACCCTGGAGTGCAGGTGAGGGTTTTGCATGGCCAAAGGGTCTCAAGGTATTTTGATTCCTTGTTAGTATTTCTGGCGGAGATTGAGGCAAGAGTACAGCTCCTGATCTCAGATGTGATACGATCATCACTAATTAGGTCTTCAAGCACGACGCTTATCACATCTGAGTGCTCAACCACAGACGGTGGACCTTTTTCGCGGCACAAATAATGATATCTTACAGTAACTGAATATATGCGCTTGAATTTAAGCAAGGCGCAGCTCACGTGGGGACATTCGTTAATTACTACCTGGATAAAATTAGGAGTCCTGCCAGCTTATTTATTGTGTATTCGAGCTGTTTGATTTGACTTCCCGTTCTCACAAGTTAGCCAGGAGATCCCCTTCGTTCCTGTATTACGAAGCCAGTATCGAGATGCGTTGGCCATTTCGTGATACAACTTCAATTTGCCTGTAATAATCTTCATGGGACTGCAGTTGCCGCCTTTTAGGAAAAAGCCTTCGTGGTTACTTCGTGGCATGTGCATCAAGGGGCTTGGGGATTTCCTTCACGCTTAACACAAGCATTGGATTTTCAAATGAAAACATAAAAATTTACTGCAGAAGGATAAAGAGTAAAGCATCTCAAGGAGTGAAGCGGTTCAAGGCAAAGGTCGACATATCAAACGGCGTACTAAAACCGACGATCTAAGTGTTAACTCGTAAACCCACTTTTTGCAGAAGACTTGCACCACCATATATTTTGACACCCGTCGTATGGTTGTTATAATGTAAGTTAATTATAATCTGAACCTAAAAAAATGACGCAACGGATCCACGAAGGGGGCCCAAGAAACACTGTCAAGCAGGTGCTGGCACTTTTGTGCTAGTGCGTATCCTACGTCAGCCCCCGTTAGCTCCGACACTAGCATTAAGTTCAGAAACGTGCCCGTTCACAGCAAAGCGGATGCGGTTGCTACCGTAGCCACTGCTATTGATCGTGTCAATGACAAGGCTTATTGAAATGGTGATTATGAAAGAGGAACGAAGAAACTGCGTTTAGTGCCGTTGGCAGTGGCATTGCTGACGGTAGTGCTTGTGGTGGTGCAGCAGTTGCTGTTGGTGGTGATGGTAGAGCAGTAGTAGTAGTAGTAGCGGCAGCAGCAGCAGTAGGAGGTTTTGGAAATGGATTGAGCAACAGCGAATGGCTTTCACCCTAAGTTCTCTTGCACTGTATAGACAGATATTTATCTGAAGAGTCGGCGCTCTAACTTGATATCTGTACAATTTTACTCCCGCTTTCTCTTTTAGCTTCCGAAAAACAACCAGGGCCTTCGGGCAGGCCAGAAGCAAGACGATTGACGTCGCAGAAGATGTCAAGGAAAAGGTTAATGCAACCTTGCAGACCCTTAAGTAATTCCAATTCCTCAATTCACTCAGTTTTGTAGAAATTCAGAAACTTATAAAAATATAAGCGACTCCATGGGATCTGCGCTGGGCACTGTCAAGGTAAATTCTGTTTATTGACCCTCCTCACATTTATTGCCCCATCGTTGCAACTGTTACATTTCGTTTGAGTCATCTTTAATGCTGTATGCCTACGTCGTTGACTGTTTAAGCGCGGCCAGTCGAATGTCTAATTGTCGTCTTCTTACATTACGGTCAGCGGGTTCTTTATAAAGACGATCTGTCACTCGTAGATTTCGGGTATTTCAGACTGTAGTCACACTCAGCGCAATTGTCTGGCTTTGTCCGAAAAATTAAGTTGAAAAGGCCACTGTTTCATTCAGTCGTCCGGCTTTTGTTCTCTTATAGGCCTTTGCGATGCCACGACTGACCGCTTTAAGTTGGGCACCACAACCTCGTTAGGCAGGTTCTCTCATGTTTTAGAGCTGTTCTGTCACGATTTTTTGTCATTTCTCGTCGTGGTCACATCCCAAGACCAGCCCTTTTGGCCTTGTTGCCACAGAATCCTCAGCCAACGTTCCTTTGTTTTCTTGCATGCATTTGTGTTGTGCATGTCACCTCAGGGTGCCATTGTCTTTTTTTTACTTCCGCCGATTTTTTTAGGACATTATCGTCAAATCTACCTACGGAACACTGCCTGAAGAGGGCGATTAAACCATACTCCGACTCCCTCACTCTTCCCAGATTTTCACTAAAATTTCGCATATTTTTTCGGTTTTCTGAAGGTTGTCACATAAAAAAACGCTTTGTCTCTACCAGACGCTTTTCTGCTCCACACAATTCTCCAACACAGTGATACGTTCACACGAACTGCTCGGCCAACGGAACAGTTACTGAGTTCTAGGTAGGCTTTCGACAGACCTTTCGGTGGGTCTAACGTGAGGCTTTAAACGATTGCGCACGGCTCCTGTCGCCCAACTAAACAGCCAAAGGGGTTCTTTAGGAATTGGAAATGGAAGTTCAGAAATGTCTTGTTCTTTAAGGTTACTAGAATACAGTGTTTCCCTTCAGAAGTCCGACTTCACACAGTGCCCTTTGACGATTCCGCCCGCTGGCCCGTCATATGACTAACGCCAGCCTGGCAAATTCGTCGCTCGCCATTGCCTGTAGACATTCCCAGTGTGTTTGATGAGGGGGTTACGCGGTATCTACCTCACTTCCCCTACACGCATCGCTTTGCGGTGGTCAGACGATGTCAGCAGAGGCAAACATGGGCGTGGACGCATCGGCTGGCGGGACGTTGGTCCCCGCTTCCGCGTGGCCCACACAGGCAACCAGCTACCGAAATGACTTGGCAAGTTAGTCCACCCGACCGAGGAGCTTTCAAATGCGTTCGGCCGCCGGCCATCCGGACAAGTCAACATTTCCGCAATCGCACTAAGCGCGGGTCAACAGACAAGTGAGAACAGACAGACAGTGAGAGAATCCACAGGAACAGGGTCAACCAGCTCAGAAAGCCATGTAAAACCTAACTGGGCTCTTTGTGCATCACAAGCTTTGCGGATGCGGCTATTCGAAGCTCCAGCCGGTTAAAGAACTTGTTAAAGTGACCCCAACTATCGTCTCGGGACTCGAGCGCACAAAAGTTGCCTTGCCGTACTACCAATAATAGTACTAACCAGGAGCCCAGAAGCCCGCCTCGTGAACTGTCTGCGGCTGAATGTCGCACCTGTGAGGCTCAACTGAGCCAGTGCGTGTCACGGCGTTCCTCATGCGGTTTTGTAAAACAAAAGAGGTTAACGACTACGGGATAGATTATCTAATGAGCATGAGGTCCAGTTGTATGTACAAGAGTCAGCAGATCCGGCTCCGAAAGAGTACGGGAGGGGAATCAGCAGACTGCGTGCCAGTATCAGCGGTGCGACGAGGAAAGTGTTTTGTGCGAGATAAAGGCGGATTTACCAGTCATTTTGTTAACTAGTGTATTAGCTGCGAATCACCTTGGTTGAATAGACGCCATGGTACCACCACAACCGAATTCCTAAAAAGCCTACATTTGCCGAGGAGGCCTTAACCGAATGATAGGGAAAGTTCAGACAAAGAGGTTCCAATCTAGGCATTTTTTGGAAACAAATGTACACAGCCCGCACTGGATTCTATGCAAAAAATCTTAAGTTACAAAGTTCAGGGGATAAGACTGCATCGTATTTCCCTCTCATGGCTCCACTTCGAGGCCCTCGAGTTCTTCCTCTAAGCCCTCCAGGTCCTCGTTGTTGAACAGATCCTCATCAATCGCTAGGTCACCTGTAGAAGGGGGAGATAGTACATGACGATAACAGCACAACCCAAAAACGATCAATGTTCTTTTGGATTCCTGAATAGGAATAGTCGATTATAGGAGCATGAAAGATCATTCAGCGCTTCATCTTAGGTATGAAACCGTGGGAGACACGATATGCAGGGACTGCGCCTACACCGACGGGGTCCAGGCAGAAACCGGTGGACGAAATTAAGCCGGCTAGCGTAAAAAACGGCAGGAAGGTTCTGGTTGAGGAGGCCAAACACGGGCCGAGGGCTGCACTGGCTCGCCCGGTGTAGTGCAAGTCATGCCACTTGTAATGAGGTTTCCATATAGCACGTCACCTCAGGACTGACTTCCGTGTTTTACGCGCATAAAATGCTTTCTACGGGAAGTCTGCACGAAGACGCGAGAGGAAGTAAATGACAGGACGTGTTTGAGCATTCAGTTGCCCTTAAAACGCGCCACACGGTAGATGCGGTGGACCAACACGGCAAACGTTATAGGGAATGCGCTCGTATGCCAACATTCGTGGTGCGGTGGCAGGCCCAGCTGCAGACTCACGCAGCCCCAATCGAGATTCCTCCCGCCAACCACTTCTGGTTAAAATGCTGTTCAAGTGCTTGTCGTGGACCAGGGGATGAGGTAGCATGCCTATGTGCGGGTTTTACGCCGCGCAAACTACCTACGGCCTCTCCCACCTACGGTCTTCTTGACTTGGTCGTGATGTCGGGCGCAGGTGGGGGAGTGGTTAGTCCGTTCACGCAACTTATACTGTGGTTCCAGTGCGACCAGTTCATTAATCTAACTGCCGGCTTTTCAGTGCATCAATAAGTGGCGAATAAGTAAAAAAAACCCGCAGCATAGGTTCGCTGCGTAATAAGCCGATTTGTATCAGGCGAATATGTGATCACGGGTTAGCAACGGCAGTGCAAGCCGAATGTAAGAGATTAAGGTCTGGCAAACTGAACATCGAACTTCGCATAGCACGTGACGGCAACGCGGCAGTTCAGTTTGAAAGCACGTTTGGGGTGTTCGGCCGGCGTTTTTAAAGCGCCGGACTCCACATTCCCTAAAATTATCGACGCTAGGAGCGGTCTTAGTAATTCCGTTCGTGTGCAAGAACCCATAATATTCGCGAAAGCGCACATCAACATGTTGGTAGGGGCGTGATCATGCCCGTTCTGACCCGTCTCGATGGTATGGCGGATCGCACCTGTTCAGGGGCGACAATATACAGCAGCAGGACTGGAGAGTTCGACCCACTGAAAGTGCGCCCAATGCCCAGGAAACACTCCCGTCTTGGGGGCTGTGCCGACTGAGATCTTGAGCTGACCTATTCGATGCCTACAGATGGGTAAGGCGCCGGACAGAGATTAAAAACGCAGCGCTTATGAGACACGGCGGTGTCCGATGTCGTCCTTTTTGGAGGACCCCGGGTATCGCAGCGAGTTCAGATTGTCACATTTAAGACAAAATGAAATTCAATCGAGGGGCAATGGTGGGCAGACACCCTCAGTTGTCGCTATTCTTCCCTGTATTTAAGGCCATGGTAGAGGACTGGTTGGACGGATGCTCGGTACAGGCGAATCTTCATGGCAATAAGGACATCACGTCGGGTCCGTGGAGTGTTTAGAAGGACCGCGAAAACCCCATGAGCAGTATCGATTCGGGGTACGGCGTCGTCCTTACTCTGCCTCTGGCAGCAACATCGCATCGACGTTGAAACCACCCACTTCTTCAAGCTGATGGATTAGCTAACAGATGTGACGACCTCATTCACACGCTACACTGCGTTCTGTAGGTCACGACATCGTCGACACAGTCAGTGCTGGGCAGCTGACGTCCTGGTGCGAATTCGATGCCATCAACACCTAGCACAACCCTTCCGATAACCGATTTAACGTAGATGAACAGGGTGCAGTGCGCGTGAATAGGAACGACCGCTGCCTGCGGACGCACCGAATGGACAGCAGTTCGGCTAACAAGCAGACCAGTCATCCTAAGGAGAGCAGATACTTGCATCAAAGGGTCTGGCTTACCTTTAGCAGGATGTACAGACGCAGCCTTAGCAGCAGGATCCTGGTTCTCCGTCCCATCTATAAAAGGAGTTTTTTTAGTAGCACCACTGAAGAGTAATGACAATAGAAAACACTGTTTCCTCTTGGTATTCTGAAGTAGGCGAAAGAATGCATAAACAACTCGGATGCTCGAAGTGTGGGGTTTCCACTTTTCAATTATAGAGAGAAGTGGAGTCTACCTAAAGAGCATAGGTCCCATAAGTATTGTCCCTCCATTAACGATTCCTAAATGTCTCGAGGAAAATGGAGACACGATCGAATTCCTGTCCGAACTCATCATCAGAGACTATAGCAGATACGGACAGTTCATGCACAATGGGCTGCAGTATTTGTGGGATGCAATCACCGTGCTACCGCACGCGGTAGCATCTGACTTATCTATCCCACTTCCTTACCAGTGGCCCGATAGGGCTTTTTGGCTGACTGCTGATGAGATAAAGCGCGCTGATTGACGTAACGCGGTCTTCCGTCTAACGGCTCTGCACGCAAGTATGGCAGCATCTAAGGTTCTAGGTAGACTCAGCGTAACCCGACTAACCCAAACCCATGCATCAATGTGATTCCTGTCTTGGTCCAGCCTAAGAGCGACGCCGTCCTGCTGGAGAGGCGGGAAAAAATAGGACTTACAGACAAATTCACAGGCGCTGAAGACACGCAGCCTACCCTCACCTCGTTTAGCCTACCAGCCGGAGCAATAACATGGGCGGAGACTGAGTGGCAGGGTGGGGGGGGGGGTCAGAAGGGAATCAGCGCTTCACACAGGTGTGTACCAGGTAGAACTGTCACTCCATCAAATGGCTACCCCTCACCGCATACCGCACACATCTCCGGTAAAGGAGATCGTAAATTGCCAAATGAGAGCGACAGAAATATCACGGTGTGGCCAACCGCTAGCGAGAACTTAAGGACAATCTACCTGACATTCATTAGGCTACCGAATTATAGCTAAAGCCATGATTTCGAAAGACTTGAAAGAAACGCCTTTTGACAAAAAAGCACTAAAATGTGTAGACACCCAAAGTCTGCTACTAAGTGCTGCCAGACGCCACTGATACCGAAGTATTCTGAAAAAGGCTCGGATTTCTTGCGATCATGAGGCAATACCGAATTTTATTGTATGGACTGTATGACTTGATACACTTTCCGCTTAAAGCACTACGATGACCTCCATTGAACAGTGCCACGGATCGTTGCTCAACAGATGGCCTTGAAAACGCCTGAGGGTGAATTATTAACAGATGCCTGCCTAGGCATCGCATGAAAAAGTCCGTCGGTCTCTTTCCTCAATCAGTTACTGGGCAGTTTTATTGGGGTGAAGGTAGAATTATAACACTAGTAAAAAAACTCCACAGAAGAGATCGCAACTTCAAGAGACTCGATAACAAATAAAGACCGTTTTGTTACTTGAGAGAACTTAACGATCGTCGGCCTCGGATTTGCTACGGCGCTTACTGAAGAGGACATGGTGATAGCACTACATATTTTCAAATGTTCACGGGTAAAATTGCAGCTTCGCCGACGTAATAACCGCAAATAAGTGATTCGAAAGGACCTAAGACGCAGGCAAAACTACAAATATGTGATCCTGAGGAGTCTAGAGGTTTAGACCGAAGTGTTCTGATCTCCAATATTTATAGAGAAATCCGACTGGCCGAATTCACGCTCACTAATTTGCTTATTCAAAGAACACAGTAACAAATCCAGTACCAAAAGTATGGTTGCTTACTGAGTTCCAGAAGGTGTTCTTCATCGAAGGCTGAGAGGTCGATATCATGCACTTCCACGTCAATCTAAAAAACGACCACCGGAACAGTGCAAAACAACAGCAAAGACTAATCAAAAACCAAAATTTCAAAATAAACTTTATCTTAGAATTTAGTTTTGAGAAATAACATCGTAGGGTGGTCTCTAAATAAGTCGCGGGTTGGTCAAGCATTAGGTGTGGGTTGAAGGACTTGACAATCCTATTTTCTCACGCCAGTGAGTTTATTCTCGAAAGGTCCGGTGTCAAACTGGCACCAGGAAGTCAACTGGCTGAACTCGACTACAGCGATGGTGAAAGTCCAATGTGAATGAGCCCTAAAACGTAGTGCAAGTGTCTTAACAGACGTGGTTGCTAAATTAGCATGTTTGAGGTAAAACATCCAGTACAGCATATCTAGCAAAACAAGGCACTGCGGAGCGCTGTGAATGTCATCAATATGCTGAGGTCAATTTGCTGCTGCTGGCAGGATTCTCGCCGGAAAACATAAGTGCTTACGGGATATCTCAATCTCCTGAACGTTCCACACACACACACACTGGGTATCCTTCCGACGAATTATCCTCTACGGCTGTGAATGCCGAAGTAAGCAAACGAGTTTTACAATACTGCTTTTGAAGAATTACTTTACGAAGCGAAAGCTTCGGGGGAATATTCTGGGTAGTGCTGCTGCAGCAAACTTGACGGTCCACGTTTCGTCATTGTCAGTGAGCAGATTTGTTTTATGCCCAACATTTCCCATCACCACAGAGCGGTGTCGTGGTAAAGAAGGCAGGTGTAGCTTCGACCGATGTACCTGAAGACCCCAGTCAAACAATGCGCTATGTACAACCGAAACACCGAATGTCTGGTCAAACATGCTTTTCTGGTGGCTGTTGAGCAAAAAAGCCGCCTACTGGGTTGCAGTATTGAGGTGAGTAGCAACCTCCTACTTATCATGTGCTAAGGCGCGTACGACTAAATGATGTGTGAAATTGTGATGCAGGTCCTCTGGGAGGTATTTGCTGGTTTTTTAAGAGGACAGTGGCTGATAGAATAAAAAAGTTTTGAGCATGATTGGCAGAGTGGCCTGACCTCATCCTCATTGTCTTCACGCATCCGAGAGTCGCAGACGTCACCGTCAAGTTCCTCGCCCTCGTCAATGAAGTCAGGATTGAACTCAAACATCTCACGTCCTGAAATCTGTATAGGAGAACAACTTGGAAGTTAGGGAAATTCTAGTATTAGGAAATTTAGTCATCCAGACAAGTAACATCACGCTTACCCCGAGGAGGCGGCCTTGAGAGAAGTTAGCCTCTTTTTTAGCCCTTTCGGCGTTGCCAGCCGCCACTTTTTCTTCTCGCTGACAAAGGCGGAAAATGTAATTTAACGGAATAAAAACAGAAAGGTCTTAAAATATATTATTGCAGAACAGTGGAAACAGCGCACTAACCTTTCGTTTTTTCCAGGCCAAAAAAGTTTGTAGGGTGACTTTAGTCTGGTTGAGACCCAGGGCACGGCGCTGTAGATTAATGAGAAGACAAATCTCGTAAATTCAGTTTGATGCACTCATATGCGCAGGAAACGAGACGATTTGCTCACATTGGATGAACAATGGGTCCTAGGCCAGAAAAAAGGCCTCCAAATTTTCTAAAGCGATCGCTAACCAGACTGCAATACACGGATAACGTAGTTACAATAAATATGATACCTACTGCCAATATTTAAGTAGCGGGCTGTTGAAGGTATAAAAAATGGAATTGCGGATGGGCAGAACCGTGCTTATGCGATACTTGAATGCTGACATTAGCGACAGTGTTAAACATCGAACAAAAGAATCAGTGTGTACTTTCGAAATATTGATTGTATACAGAAAACAACGTTCGCACTCAGTTTCAACACAGCCCTGAGACGCTGAATTGTAGATAATTGCACACCTGACTGTTCTCTCAGAAGAGCTGTCGGCAAAACCTAGTGTCACTTCTAGAAAAGACGTGATCGAGATAGTTTTCTTAGATAAGCAAAACTGGCAATAGTATTTTATTTTACTAAAATACTATATTTACTTCCCAGGACGGTAGATGTACGCCTTCTGTCTTTTACAAGGACAACTTGGCTGCATCTATGATCACCAAAGGTGTTTGAAGGAATTCTTTTCAGTTTTCCTAAAACATCTTCAATTTGTTTAAGGAGCAAGGCAAAGCGATCAGAATTACGGCGGCCAAAAGCCAAGTCACCTTGTAACTGCACCTGGCACAGACTTCACAGAGGTTCTGGAATTTCGATAGTCTGTTTATGTAGCACTGCCGATATGTACGATTTATTTGTCCGCTGATTACGTAGTACAGATAAAAAAACAATTCGCAGTCGACCGGAAGGTCCAGAATTCCACGGGGGAAACGTCCAAGCGTTTAAGAACTCATCGCAATGGGTCGTGAAAGTCAACATTTACACGAATCACTGCGTCTGAGGATAGTGGCTTGCACGAGACGTAGCTGGACTCCTTTGATATAGTAATTCAGTGGCAGTTCCACCGCCAATTCCGATGGTGCTCACCATGTGCACCACGGACAGCACCGTACAATGTCGCAATGACGAAAAGTTTGCGTCAATGGCGAGCCGGACGCGCAGAGCTTTAGTGCACAGATAGACTGCCTTGACAGGTATTTCGTCCTGCAGTCTGCGCCTTCCCTCCGGGTAGTCAAGGTCTCCGCAATGCCATTCCTCAATATCCTCTATTCATCTTCTCCTTTAACAAACGGCAGTCGGGGTCCATATTTTTTGGTTAGACGGAAAAGCTTGGCAAAGGTGATTTACTTTCTTTATGACCATAGTTTTTCGGCATAAAAGAATGTGGTTTGTGGAAGTAGTCTAAAACGCGGGTCCGGTATGGCTGCCACGAGTTTCCGGTCTGAGTTATAGTTCTTTCTAGCTGCAGTTCATCCAATCAACTAACAACCAAGTGCTGTACTTGTCAATTTTTCCCTTAAAAAGTTGGATCGACCATTCATAAGGTCTTCCAAAGTTAGTAATGCTTATTCAGACGCGGAAGCCTAACTCAAAACCAACCTAATTTACCCTCAAGAGAGAGTTTATCGTCATCAATTGTTAATGACAAACTTACTAGCGGTGGGGGTACCTGCTCTGCTGCGCATAATCCAATCATTTCTATAAAACTCGTGCTGCAGAGGAACAGCAGGTGCAACGCCTCTAAAAGACGGTCGTACAACACTTTATGTTGACCGCCAGGGCATAAGCAACAAATATAATTACGTTAGCACGCAACTGCGTGTGAGGGACGCGATCGAGGAGGCTCCTAATGCCACCTTTAGGTGTGGGTGGGCGCCGATTCGGTAAATCGAACGGCTTTAACAATGTCACAAAGCAGGGTGGTATTATGACGTGATCAGTGCCGATCGCTGTCAATTAAAACTTCACTATCGTCACCAGCTTCTAGGTAAGGGCCCCACCTACATGCCAGGAGGGACTAGAAGCGTCAACTTTATCCTCTTCCAGCTTTACTTTATAATGATTAAGTGAGGAGTACAATACGTGCAACGGCATCCACGGAAATGAATGCGTTAGGGCAGTCATCAATACGTCAGGTGCCAGGTACGCGAACTGACAACTTTCGAGACTTTTGCATTCGATTTTGTCTAAGAGAAGTTCGGTTGCCTAAGTTGGGCAAAAAAGCAATCAAATTGACGGGGTCGGACATCATTCATCATCTACAGTATGCATAACAACAGTAACAGAGGGTATGTCAAATAGAGAGTTAAAATCGTCTCTATGGAGTTCTGCCTTTCATTCTTCTTAGTGACATTAAAAGTGTTGAACATCGACCAAACTGACCCAACTACCCGACGCCTACAAAAGTTCGCTATCGGCAATCAATGTGACAATAGTGACTGGCTTCTTGGCTTTGCCGAAGCTATTAGGATGCTGGTAGGTAACGCCAGCTGAAAATGCCCTTGTCTATTTGTTAGGAGCTCGATGTTGGCAAACCTCGGGGCAAAGAAACAGTTTAAATTTTTTACGCTAACGTCACTAACCGCCCTAACTTGATGGAGCACTATGACGCTCGGTCGCCTGACAAAAGTGGGAAATGGGTCCTATTCAGGAACCACTTTGAGATTTCGCGAATGTAGGCGTAAATATGAAGACTGGACACAAGCCTCCACTGCTAGGCTGCGAAGTGCACCACTGTCCTCAGACGACAAGGTCAGTGAAATCCAGCCAGAACCGATACGCACAGCACAGGGCATCGGAATCAGAACAGATAATAACTTCCGACAACACAAGCGAGCTCGAGCAGTCCCTGAAGCATTAGCTGAAAAACCACTCAGCGATTAATGAACCAATTAAATTAAATGCGGGTCTGTCATTGGGTGAGCGAGTGCCCCGTATAATACCGTTGTCACGACTACCCCCATGTACATGTTGAACTTCGTGCTGATTCGAAGTCCATGACAGTTCCAGACGAAGCCCTGAAGCCGGCCAAGACGTGGCTGGCTTTGGAGACCCAGTGAGCCAATTCGTCGTCACTTTTTATGCTGTGTGGGAATTTTCTGGGTAAATACGCGAAATCGTCCACGGTACTGAGTTGGGAGCCATTAACAGTGATACGAATGACGTATTTGATGTCGGGTGACGGCTGATGCATGATTACTGTTTTGTCGTGTTGATGGTCAGCCCGAAGTTGGTGCAGTCCACGGAAAAAAGGTCCATGCTTCGCTGAATTTTCGGTTCCGTCGCGTTGTTCAGCACCCCGTCGTCCGCGAGGAACAGGTCGTGAACAGTAGCCTGAAGAGATGCGATGGGGCCCGCATGACCCGGCTGTTGAGATGGCTATCTGTCCTGTAGGTGATGCCGACTCCATGACGCTCATCGCGATAGGCGTCCATCAGCACAGCGGAGGATAAGAGGCCGAAGATGGTGGGGTCGAGTACGCAGACCTGCTTCACTCGGTTAGATACCGCGAATGCTTCTGACGTTATCCCACTGTGCGCGATGCACGCCATCGTCCCGTCACGAAGCTGCGCGATTTTTCAGTCCATCGCGACTCACCGCGTAAAAAACTTCCGCCCGGTCTATGAAGGCAGCATAGAGGCGAGTTTGCATTTCCTGGAATTTCTCTTGCAGCTGGCGGGTGGGGGAAACCATGCCGGTGTTGACACGGCAGAGTGATCGCGTAAATTTCACATAAACCACTAGTGGCGGCTAACAGACAACGATTCTCGAGGAAGTAACAGGAGTCGGCATTTCGTTGTAGACAGCCAAAGATAACGGAATGGGTCTGCACAGGCGGGGTCTCCGGTCACATCCCGTCTCAGAACAGAGACCATACTCTGTAAAGCGACGAGGCGCAAATTGATTTCTTTCAAAAATGCACTGTATCAAAATACACAACATCTCTATGCCTTTGCTATGGATAACCGCCTTGACAGGTCGGCGACCAATCAGACCCTAACGGACTCGGCCGTTTGATCGGCGAGTGCTTATATGCTACATTTCCATAAGCTTAATTCACAGCTTCTAAAATAATGAAAGGAATTTACCACCATTAAGTGGTTTGTGGACGAACTGGACAAACGCAGCAAGACCAGTTAAAAACGGTCTTTTGTCAACTGTCAACTTGCCAAGCCTACGGCCGATGAGGAATCATCAATAGAACATCCTGGGCCGGGTTTGTGCGGATACGTGAGCATCGGCAATAAAAACGCCCAGTAGTATGAAAGCATATGAAGCAGATGCAAGTGAAGGGCTTTAACTCCATCAGGGGACAACATTCTGGAACAACGAACACTGATAAAGGAGACTGGTAAACTGTATCAGTAATACAGTGGGAACAGGTTAAGGAGACTGATTTTAGTCGTAATGTCTCACGTCCCAAATCAATAGCAAGCTTGTTTGTAGTATAAAAAGAGGGGATCATGAATAAGTGGTAATTGCTGACACTTAAGATTGATGTGGTGTGACTGGTATAAGACACTAAAAGTATAGCCTTACTAAAGGCCTAGCCTCTGTTGGATAGCAAAATAACCGAAAATCAAACCTAAATAATTAGATCAAAATCACCATCAAAAACTTGTTTAAAGACTTTCAGTGCGCAAACGTGCGAGTGAGATAGAGGCCTACTAATGTATGCGCAAAGCCAAAAGTAAAGACCTTCTAAATAAGTTCGGGACTTTACTTCATTCTCGATAAGTTCGTCCAAAGTGATAGTTTCCTTCTGTTCATCCATTTTTTTCTTGTCCTTTTTCAGAACGAAATTAGGGGGAAGTGCGTGTCGGTAGTGGCATGCAGAACCATTCGGGCACTCCCAAAACCAGCCGTATTTGTTTCCTTCAACAGCATCTAGGAAGTACTTACAAATCTGTACAGAATGCCAACACATTGTATGTAAATTACAATCGTCGTCGCTGGAAGACCCTTATTTTGAGCGCCGTGTTTCTTAGTAATGACGTCCTCCAGTTGGGCTTGGTCCCACTGCTCCATGTCACCTCGTTCGTCTTCGTAGAGATTTTTCTTTTCAGTTTTTCTTTCAACAGACAGGTCGTGGGAAAATTTACACTTTTCGCCCTTGGTACAAGTACCTTGTTTGAAAAATATGCATAGAACAGACTTTGGGTCAACACCTAAATGGTTTAAATAACGTGAGATGCAGCTTGCCCTTCGATATTTTTTGAAGTTCAGCAACTGGTTTGAATAGTGTATTTAATTCTTCGGCCTCCTTTTTCTTCTCCAGCTTTTTAAGCTCTTTCTCATGCTGAGCCCTTTCGATCTTTGAAGGACGTCTTTAACTAAGAAAATGCTTACATCTTTCGCGGACTTGTTTCCATATATGACCTGTTTTTGAACCTGTTGGACAAATTTTTGCTGCTTTGCACCCTTTTTGTTTTTCAGGCCGAACGTTTTGTCCTAAAAAGTATATAATTCCAAAAAATCGAACCTCAATTATCTTTTTCTTTTCTTTCTCGATTGCTTTTTTAGATGGCTCATTCTTCTTCGGGGGCATGAGGGAGCCACAAGAGAACTTTTCGAAGGGACCGCGCTTAAGAGTTCAACAATGAAAGAGAAGAGAGTCAGTTTCTAGTTTCTTGTTTGAAAATGTCATCCGTCAAGATCCTAGATTTGTAAGTTAAAATCATTCCAATTGACTTTGGGTAATATTGACATCACTGTTCGCAGATCCGCAATAATAAAACGTCTTAGGGAAGTTCAAAATCAAGATAGAAAAATTTAAAGCAATGAGAAAGGCAGAACATGAGTACTTAAGAGGTCGCTGAAGAAAGAGTGCTATTAAATGACGTGATAGTCCGATGCCGGACGACAAAAGATGGAAAATGTCTTCAGACTTAAAAGCTTAGGGAAATAAAATAAGTTTCGACGAGAGGGGTAGACAGAAACATGGATTATGTGCAAGTGGCGACAAAATGATCAAGCAAACTAAAAACTTGAACAAAAAGATGGAAACATGTGAAGACTCTAACAACGCCTATTTCCGTTTTCATTCATCTATGAACTTAGCAAAAGTCGCCAATAGGTGCAACACAATATATAGAAGTGGTGGAAAGACTACGTTATTACGTATACGTGCGTATACGCACGGATGCGGGCAAGCAAGTCATTTAAGTCCCTTTGTAAAGAAAATAAGGTTTTCGTCCATGCTCTCCATATTTCTGTTTAAAAATATCAATAGAATCCATTTTCGCAGCAGTAATTTTGGAAAATGGAAAGTAGTCGGTATGTTTGAGCTGGGCGCGAAATGCCACCACTGACACAATCTTTATTTCATGTACAACACGCAAATACTTGTGGCCTGAAGGCTACTCTGAGTCGTAGGCTTTAATTCCATGGGGTTAATTAGTCCTCCACGAAGAGTCAACTTACCCGTTAGGTAACGCACACGTGGACGTACTGCCCTCCGCCTAATTAACCTGCACGCCCAAAATGTGGGATGTAACTATGTTGAAAGAGCGATCCTGCATTTGTATAACGAGCACTACGAGGTGTTCTGTCAACTCCTACGAGATCTCCACGCTGCCCTATCGAAACTCGTTTAACGGTTACATTTTTATTGTCAGGCCTTACATAACGAGCCTAAAGCTGAGAGACCACACTGCATCCTTTGCCACTGGAATTTGTCCAAAAGTTCACATGCATTGAAGATGTCCCGTTGCCGAGCGTGTAAGTAGTACTTAAATTGCAGTCAGTTGGCATTTTTGTACAGCATGCTTGCATTTGCTTCCGTGGGGTATGGAAAAGAATTCGAATTAGGTCAATCCCTATATATGCCATTGCAACGGTCCGTAAGCATTATATACTTAGTGCCAGTTAAGCGCCAGTAATCTTTTTTTCGAATCTACAGTAAAGTCGGTATGTAATATGGCAGTGCCATCCTATATGCGCCGCCTTCTATGAACTGAGCTAAAATTGGATGATGGAGGCCATGGCGTAATCCAAAATATCGACCAACGTTAACTTTAACTATATTTTGCTAATACGACTGCAAGTTTTTTGCATTTCATACATCGTACGCAAACTTCTTGCATAGGTTAAATCGTAGGAACAACCATACGAGTAAACCGCTTCAAGTCAGTTGTCTTCGGTCACCAGAATGGACTGGATCACCTGTTTAAGTCTAAGCATTTGGCCCCGTCCACCCTCTGTTCAAACATGGTTCGTCAGTTATCGAAGAGTGGTAAGTCCAGTCAAATGAGATGATCGTACCTTCTAATGTCACGTTCCTTTTTACCTTTATTTGGTAGGATATGGCGGCTGAGGCCACCTGACTACTCACACAAAGCAAATATGGTGATATGGAGAGTAGCCCTACTCACGACCAAATCCTCTAACACCCAGAGGTCTGTTTCGAGATGTGCTCAGCGTTCGATCGAACAACCCACCAAACAATGAAAGACACGTCAAGGCTTTCAGAATTATGATGAAATCGCGTATTGACATCCAAAGAATATCTGATGGTCGAGTTCCTGAACGTACAAGTTGTAAAAAGGGAAAATAGAATAACCATGTGGTTTACGTTTATGTCTACATAAGCTGAAACGATTGTAATCACCTAAAAATCTAACCATCAATTAAATTGAACAATATGGCTTAAGACATCAGCTTTGGTAACAACCATTTAGTTAGCCATGAACGTAACTAAATAAAAGCACTGTATTTGTGTGCTTGCATGCTGTACAGTGAACCAGAAAACAGGACTGTTGAATTGTAATACCTCAGTCGGGTGCCAAATGAAAATGTCTACCCGCGAGACTTTGCCAGCAGGTACATGTGCAGAGGAGAGTAGAGACCGGACCGCATCGGTCCCTATCTTCGCTTAGCGCCCCCGTTCGTAAAGAGCTTACCGGTAACCACCAGCCACCTCGAGCTACTTGGACTTGAAGATACAAACAGACCAGAAACAACTATCAGGCGTCAATGAATGAGGCCGAAATATCCTCTGTCACGTCAGGAAACGCCGGCAGCCGTTTACCGGATATGAGGCAAATGTTGATAAAGCATCGGCCTAGGTAAAACTAAGAACTGATTCTGGACGCCTAGGCCGCAGGTGCAGCAGCAGTGAAGAAGAATGGCGCTAAGCCTTATTTCTCAGCCAATTCAGCGGTACCACACCACACTCTCAAGTCTGATGAGCCTGAAATTACGGGGAAGCTAATAACCCATATACACCGTGAACTGCACCGGTCGCGCTTCTTCGACCCACAGTCAGTCAAAAAGCGCAGGAACCACCCTCCATCTTCAGCGTCGAGTAATTTTTCCCGTTAAAAGCATGTGGAAGAACGGATCCTCAAGTGACATAGTAAGTTAGCCAAATTGCTGAATAATCAAAACGATACTAATCGATGGCTCTAATTACAATTTGGAGGGGCAAACATTCATAGCATCAATTACAGCACAGGGGATGGATGCGTGAATCATCAATAATGGCAGATATATGGTTGTCTGTCAATTGCCCTATGTAGGGGCCGCATTCCCTGCGCGCCTGTTATCATTAGCTTCAGTTTATTTAAATATTTCATTTTATTTCGTAAGGCTTATAGGTTATACCCTCGAAAACCTCACTGCTTACATGTCAGTTTGCCAGATACAGCTGTGCAGTCACAGTGTAAATTTCATTTGTAAAAATAATACTCCGATAACTTAGATAGCATTCAAATTAAATGCAAAATTTTTAAGGCGCACGGGGTATTCGGCTCAGGTTAAGACTATCGAGGAAAAACAGGGGACACAAATAATCATTCAAGTTTTCCTTAAACAGCTGCAGGGACGTCGCCTTCACGACTGCTTGAGGATGATCATTCCATTTCTCCACTATCCTTCGTGTAAAAAATCAGAGCAAAGTTTCAGCCTGGATATTTTAATGCATAGTTTCATCGTATGACTACGAACACTGGGCGAGAGTTACCACTGAAGCATGTTTTCAAAGTTCAGTTCATGCTCAAGGCCATGTAATATCTTGTGAGCTAGGGTAAGATCACCTCTTTGCTGCCTGTAACATACAAGGAATAAATAGAGTGTTGCACTGTAATGTACTTTTTGAGGTATGTTTGGCCCTTTGTTAGCCATGTCCGGCACGATTTTTTGTCATATTCTAGATGAGGCCGAACAAAAGTGTCGTAAACCTTCTCAAAAAAGGTCCCTGTCAAAAGTCCCAAATGTCCTTTTTATCGCATGGGGTATTTCCGCGGCGTTTTTGCAGCCTTGGGGCATTGCAGTGTTGATTCCATGTTGTTCTGCATCCAAACACCGAGATCCTTCTGCAGAGATTCTGCGGGAAGAGTAATGCCTCTCGGGTGGCATTTCCTGATGTTATCATTTAAATGGCAGCTGACTGAGTACTTCTGCACACTAAAATTCAGGCGTCATTGCTCGGATCACGTTTGAAATTGGTGCAGATTATTTTGAAGGGCTTTCTGGTCATTCGCGCCCTTAACGACTTTTCAGAGGTTAACGTCGTCGGAAAACACTATTTTATCGTAGTTGAGTCCTTGAATGCTGTCATTAACATAAAGGATTAAGAGCAATGGTCTGAGAACTAGGCCTTTGGACAGGCCACTAGTCAAGTTTACCCAGTCTGATATTTCATATCCAATGCAGACACACTGTTTTTGGCCAACCGGAAATGTCCTTATCCAGTTGAGAAGATCAAACCGGATATCGAGGGCGATCAGTTTATGAAGAGGGCGTCTGGGTGGGACAGTGTCGGACTCTTTGCGGAGATCGATGTGCACGAAATCGATTTCTAAGTCCTCTTTCAAAGCCCTGATCCAGACCTCCAGACAAGTTAGCAGGTTTGAGAGGCATGATTGTCCTCTCCGAAACCCATGCTGAAAATTATGCAAGATGTCATTTTCTTCACAAAATGTTGTTCAACACTCTTAACTAGGACTTCCATTGTTTCACGTGGGAGAAAAGTCAAGCTAATAGGCCTGAAGCTGATTGCTGACATCTCGCTACCTCTTTTATACAGCAAAACGAGATTAGCTGTCTTCCACTGTGATAGCAACCTCCCTGTCCTCAATGACAGCTCAAAGAGAGTTGAATTTTGGTTTTTGCTAGTTCCGTTGGTATTTCCTTAAGTATCAGTCAAGAAATCCCATTGCGTGCAGGAGACTTGTCCAGATTTGTTTGACTGAGGACGAGTCTTACCTTTTTGACGGAAAAGGCAACGGTTTCAATGACGGCAGCATCTTGGTCCATTTCAAACTCCTGAGTGTCCTCGGGGGGCCCGACCGCGAAAACCGATCGAAAAACTGAGACAGTGATTGAACTTTTTGTGGCCCTTCTACTAATGAGTTCCCGAGGCTATCCTTTAGACACACAATTTCGTCCCTGTGTTTTCTCCTACTGCGAAAGTACACCTCAAATTTTCTAAGGTAAATAAAGGATACCCATTTCAGTCTGCGCTCGAAATAAGTTCTAGCAACCCTTATTTGTTATGGGAATTTATTACGTTGCTCCTCATATTCGGCGAAGGTTATGTGGCTGTCTCTGACCACGGGTTTGAATGGGAATCCGAAAAGTCAGACAGAGGAAATTCTTGTTCCAGGGGCCGTACTTCCCTCCCTTCATACCTAACGTTATGCGAAACCCACTCGTGAGATTTAGCTATTGAAAGGAGTCCACAAAGCCATGTGCGATTCTTGTAACAGCCTGATCTTCAATAGAAAACATATGTCTCCTGGAAAATTACTCGAAACATGTAATATAAGAATTTCCTTCCAGATGTGTAGATGACCATATCTGGTTGGAACTGGCAATGACCAGAGTTTAAGTGGTAGCTCAGCAATGCAGTTTCAAGAACGGGAATGAGGGGAGACGTCTATATACGTAATCATTTTTTGTGGAATATTGTTTACGCCGGCGGTCTATAAGAAGCTGCACGACAATTCGCATTACTTGAGCGATACTTCCGAGTTTAAAACGCATTTCGGAATTTTGGTTAATATTTCAGGAGATAACACACCTACTGTATGTATGGATTTAAAAAGTGTGAGAATAAATGATCGTTCCATTATGTCGGCGAACCCGTGACCACTTCCTGAAAGGTCATGTTTAGGCGAATTACAGTTTGGCGTTCGCAGAACGTCGCAATGAGTACAAAACAATGAGTTGAAATTTGACCTTGGAAAAGTGAAAGGAATTAGTAACCAGGAGACTTGGTAAAACGCATGACTGGACCATGTACTCATGCAAGGAATGACACAGTTACATCCTCTTCAGCGTCTCATTTTGACTGTGAACATAATGTATCTCTAGAAACTTTTTCCTTCTGCTTCTTGCGGAGACGAGATAGGAGAAAGAAGTAAAATAACTTGCTTCGTTTCTGAACCGATGTTTAAGGCCTTCAATACGTATGAAATATAACGGCAGGGCCAAGAGCTCAAATAGACAAGAACTGAGCTTAGGGTTAGTACCAAACAGGAAGCCGCCCAAATCTCTATCTCTTATGTTATCTATCCCGAAACCAAAGAAAAATTGAGTGAGATTCCTCGATTCGTGGGCGGACCAAGTCATCCACGTTTACTTGATTCGCAGCGTGCAAAACAGTTGCCACTCCCTTACTTTGCCTTGGCCTACTTTTAGGGTTGTGCCTGCTAGTATGAATACTTTAAATCCAGCTCAGACCAGACTCAAGGACATTTTCTAGGTTTTCGACCTGGGTAATCGATTCTCTGCATAAGGTCATTGGTAGTTTGGGAGCGGGCGAAGACCACTCGTTAATCTAAAAATATGGGCTGCTTTTTTATAGTGCCTATCCTGCATACATGAGCTTTAAGAGAGACAGGATAAGGATGTTTAATTGATTTGGACTTAGACTTGGCAACGGAAATGCGAATACATTCCGTGTTTATCGTATAAACCTAAAGTAAAGTGTAAAGTTCTAACTTCTCGGAGGAGAGTTTTTGGAGAAGTTTAGTACGATAAAGAAAAATGGAAGGGGACTGCATGTGATGCAGGTCTCTCCACATATGTATATAACAGAAATGGAGGTCACCGTCCAAACTAAATTTCAAATGTCCTCTTAACACTGATCTAATTAAAATTGCTTACTTTTCTACCATTGTGGTCAGTCTTACTAATTCCTAGGAATATCCGTACATAATCAAGCAGAAAATGAGTTATTTGTAGTTTTAAATTCTTGGGTATTTATATCATTCCGACAGACTGCTGTGTCATCCTTTCCCATTTCAGAAAGTTCTTCGCCACAGGCGGAATACCCGGCTGACATCCAAAGTGTGTGGTTGGACTCTTGGAAATCCTTGCAGTAGATTCACTCTTATGCATTTAGGAATTAGGAGATTTCCGTTACCCTGTAGAACCTATGGTCAATGACGGGTATCATGAATTGTTAAGCGAAATTTTGAAGAGCTTCTTCGATTAAGAGAGATTACTGAGGTAATGCTGTCACGTTAAACCTTGTGCAGCATAAGCCGAAGGTGATTCAGTTACCGGCAGGACGCCGTCTTTCGGATGTGCTTAAACTCGACCGCCTGTGAAACCCGCACTTAGTTAAAATGACCACCTTATTAGTAGGCGTTTTCCTTCTGACTTTGGATGTCCTTATAAATCCAGGCATGTGTTGCACCGACATTTGAAATTACAACATGACAAGACAGCAGAAATCATGCTAACATGCCGCAGTCGACGGGAACGGTCCTTGACTCACTTCGCTCAAACCGTTTCCGCATAGCATGGTCCAGGACAATATCCGGGCACAAGGACGCAGTGAGTGACCTTTTTGTTGATTTTGTGTATAACAGCGTCAGTTGTTGATTCATCGGTCTTAGCAGCAGCCGGGGTTGTGAACAGCAATCTGTTCGTTTCTTCTTCTTCATCACCATTTTCTTATTCATCATATACTACTACTACCACTACTACCACTACTACTACTACTTCTACTACTACCACTATTACTACTACTACTACGTCGACGGTCCAATGTGTGAAAGTCCGTTTGATCCTACTTGACCTTTGGTCACCCTTGCATGCTAGTACCTTGACTCCTGAGTAATCGTACCAACGTGTGATAACAATACCCATACATAAGTCTCTGGTGGAGGTGAAGACGGCCGTGTCGATGGTACTAGTGATAAGAAAATTACGATTTAGCAGAGCGGAATTCCATAGTCAGGACGCACTATTAACTTGAGTGTTGCACTTTAACTAGTGACTGTTAGTGAGTCAGGAATGGACACCGCAATGTCCCTTATCCTCATAAGGAGAAATTTTTTAAGGCTTAGTCTTCGTTTCGTTTAACGTCTGCGTATTGCGTTTTGATGCATACAGACACGTAACCTATCCACCTGTAGACAGAAGTGGTAATGTAATCACGTCCTGAGTGTGTGAGGAAAATACTTTAAAGTCAATGGGAGCATATTTGATCTTCCTCATTTACTTGAATGCGGAATCTAAGTCCTTATGAATAAGGTCCCGAAAATTATCATCATAAAGTTTACAGATTATGAAGCTGCAATTGATACATGACTCGTGTTAAGCGCTCCAACAAATGACCCCAGCGTCCTCATAAAGATAGTGTCACCCAAGTGACCACCAGAAGCGGATCCCAACGAAAGCCAACGGTTATTATAATAAAAGCGTGATCCTTTGCGTGGTTTGTACAGAGTCAGAGCCCGTTGTCATTTGCTCAGGCATAGGAGAATGAGAAATAAGTTTGGGAGCATGCTATTATGAGTCCGAGCGCTTTCAATGGTAGGCGCGTGCAGTCTGCTTCAGTGCGACTGCAAGATTATTTGAGAATATTTTTGCCCACCGGTTGGGAATGGTTCTCTTCTGCGATTAATACCGTTTCCGATTGCGTAACTGCCTTATCTTTGTCGATGTCAGTCAGATTCAGAGGGAGTTATCGTATTGATGCATTAACTAGATGTCTGTACATTCAAATAGGACTTCTCATCTAGCGTGCATGGGGTTGCCGTAGTTCCGACGATTCTCTCCCGTAGTTGAGGGCGGGCTAACATCACACTCAACAAATCTGACTGTGCTTACCTTACAGACATTTATGTTGGCAAAACATACGCTGAAGCTACTGTATATCACCTCCAAATTCATCCGTCTGTGGGACGCATCTTCTCCCAATAATGCAAATTAAAATTCAAGCTGCACGCTATAGTGCCCGCCTATCCTCTACTTTTCATGCAAAAAACCAACGTGACCGATTTCACGAAATGTTGGCCGAAAAATCTGAAATGCGTTTTCGACCAGGGAGGATTTGTAAGGTGGCGCTGTAGCATTAATTATCACATAGCATAATTCTATTGTATTTCGGACTCGCCAGAATGTCGGTTATTGAATGCATTTCTTTCTGACCTCCCGCAATAACAGTGCTCGGTAAAAAATGACTACTTAAGTAGCATGCATTTGTCACATTTATTTTCGATGGTCATACAAATTCGAATATATTTATAAAAAACATGCATAAAATATGCTTTCTTTTACTCTTTTGGCAGAGAACCGCATTGTCTTTATATTTTATATCCGAAAAAAGTGTATATTTAGGTTTTGAAAAAGTTCCCCAATTCCCGAATAAATTCGAGCTTGATCAGCCATAGCATTTGCGTTTAACGATTTCAGTCTGCAAGCTGCATGCATTCCACGTAGTAAGAACATATAGTCCTCTATGTTTTTAAGAAGGTACTGTATAGAGCTCATAAAATTTTGCAATGGATACGGTGTGTGTTGTACACTTCACAAGGAACATTGGTAAACGGACACGTGCATGCTACTTAAGTAGTCATTTTTTACCGAGCACTGTTACTGCGGGAGGTCAGAAAGAAATGCATTCAAAAGCCGACATCCTGGCGAGTCCGAAATACTATAGGATTATGCTACGCGATAAATAATGTTACAACGCCACCTTACCAATCCTTCCTAGTCGAAAACGCATTTTAGAATTTCTGCCAGCATTTCATGGGATCAGTCACGCACTGTATGTGGCAGTATTCAAGTGGAATCTTGCTATTTGCATCAGAAAACGTGCCTGGCATATAGGACTATCGATGTGATCATAAAAATTGGCTTTCGTAAAATAACCTTTTAAAGGTACACAATCAGGTTGCTAAATTTCAGAAAACCCCCCACCCACTCTTCCGTCTGGCAATTTAGCAATCAAATCTTGTCAAGCCTGCCATTTTATGCCCCCAAAATTTATTTCCTGAAATAAAGATGTGGAAAGCCCAGTAGTTGTAGTGGGCAGTTTTTGATAAATTTCCTCAACAAAAGCTAACATTTAAAGAGATGGTTAGCGGAATTCATCGCTGGTTTCCAAGTGCCTTTGAATCTTATCTAAAAAGCCGGTTACGATGTACTGTCAGTGTGGTGTAGGTTTCAGGTGCGTACTCCTCTTCCAAGTGGAGATTTTCAATGTACCGATGTATGCTGTCTTCTCTTCCTGATTTGCTTTCAGAAATTTTATTTTCTGTCTACTGATAAAGCTTTCCCTACTCATACGCTAGAAATCGTTCATGAATATAACTAAGCAAATCCGATATGTCACAGTAATCAGCGATGACCTCGACAAGTTTAGCTAATGAACTGACATGGGGCAACGGCTCTCCCACATTCGAAATACAATCTGCCAGGCTTTGTTCCTGTAGAATTCCTGCAGGTATGTCCTAACGATTCGAAAATCAAGGAAGAGTTGCTACCGCTGCTTAGCATTTCTTATGTTTGTACCATGAACATCCAGGCGAGCAAAAGGTGAAAGTCACACTTATTGTCACTTAAACACAAATAATTTTCAAGTCTCCTGTTCATAGTTTAGTTCATTGCATTTCATTCCTCCGATATTATCGCCTGTATGCTGCTATCCGTGGCCATTTCAGTACTCTAAGCGACTTTAACTGCTATTTAAGATGTTGTCAGTTGCCCAAGCGCTTGAGCTTGACGCTAAAGGCGGTTTCTTTATTGGCCCCCTTTCCAAGTCTGCGGTGCTCCATCCAACCGTTGTCAGCAGTCAAGTTAGTAGACAGGCATCTGCTGAGAAAACTAAAGCAGGCGCGTTATCGTGCGCATATGAGCACAGGTTATTTGCACAGAGATCGTGTTTGCGCATCATGCGGATATTGAAAGCGTATGCCTCTGCAGAACTCGTTTGGAGCGTTCAAAGCATAGCCTGCCTTCTGAGCTTGTTTTATTCTGTTTAAATCGATGTACTTCCATTCCTGTTTGAATAAATACTCGATCTGCAACGACAGAGCATGCCAGACGTCGAGACACTGATGATCTTCGCTTTGTGATTTGGCCCGCCTGCGTACTATCTACGCTGTGCGCGTGTTCATAACTATGGTTCATGTGTTTCTGAGATCTACAAACACGGTGGCCTCCAACTCATGCATCATCTGACAGCGCTCTTCCAGGAGGTGTGGCGTCAAGGAGAAGTCCAGCAGGATTCCAGGGAGGTCACAATCGTCCACCTCTATAAAAGAAAAAGTAATAGCCAACTCGCGATAACCCCCGAGGCATCTCCCTGCTGAACACCGGCGGAAAAATCTTCGCTCACATTCTTCTCGACTGTTTGAATAAGCACCTGGAGCAGGGTCTCCTGCCGGAAGGCCAGTGCAGCTTCCGCCGTCAACGGGGGACCACCGACATGATCTTCGCCACTCGTCAACTGCAGGAGCAGTGTTAGGAGATACGGATTCACCTCTTCTTTACCTTCGTGGATCTGAGGATAGCCTTCAATTTGGTGAATTGCGAAGAAGTGTGAAAAATCATGAAGAAATACGGCTGTCCAGAGCGATTCACTCAGATGGTGCGTCAGCTCTACGATGGCATGGCGGCACGCATCACGGGCAGTGGAACCGTCTTAGAGGTATTCGCAGTGACCAACGGAGTGAAACAGGGCTGCGCCCTCGTGCCCACCATCTTCACTCTCATGTTCTCTGCCATGCCAACGGACGCCTACCGTAATTAACGCCCCGGCATCCGCGTCGTCCAAAGGATGGACGGCCAACTCTTCAATCAGCGGTGAATGCACTCCCAGTCGCGTGTATCCACAACTACTGTTCATGAACTTCTCTTCGCCGACGATTGCGCTCTCAGCGCCACCTCTGAAGGGGACATCCAAAGGAGCATGGACCTCTTCGCCGTCTCTGACAGCTTCGACCTGGCCATCACGGACAAGATGGTGGTTAGGCATCAACCACCACCCGACGCTGCCTATAATGTACCCCAAATTAACGTGAACAGCGCACAACTTCAAGCCGTGCGCAACCTCACCTACCTGGGCAGTAGCGCCTCCTGCAACGCCAAAATCGACGATGAAGTGGCCCGCCGGATTTCCAATGCCAGCCAGGCCTTCAGTTGTCTGCAAAATACCGTCTGGAACCGTCACGATCTCCATCTGAACACTAGACTGAAGATGTATAAAGCGGTCATCCTGTCTACGCTGCTGAATGGAGAGCAGACCTGGACAGTGTGCAAGAAATAGGCGCAAAGACTCAATAATTCACACCTCGGTTTTCTTCAACGGATACTGAAGCTGAGATATCAGGACCGGGTCCCCGATACGGACATACTGGAGCGGACGGAATCCTCGGCAAGTATGCCATTCTGAGACAGCTGCAACTGCGTTGGAGCGGCCATATCATGCGGATGGACGACGAGCGACTGCCCAAACGGCTCTTCTAGGGCGTTGTCGTCACGGGTTCCCGCCGACAAGGAGGATAAGTCCACCTCTACGACGAGACTCTGAAGACTTTCATGGAGGGTCTGCATATCAACCCGGCCAACTGGGGAGACCTCGCCCGGGACCGACCGACCTGGAGGAGGACAGTGAAGACAGGCGCAGCGATCTACGAAGCCAACCGCAACACCGCCGCCGCCAAAGCCAAACGCGGGGCTCGCGAATCTCAACTGCACTTACTTCGCAACGCCAACGCTCAACCGCCATCGACCTCCCACGATGGCAGCGGACGTTCGGGGCGTCAATCGGCCTTATACGACATCTTCGTACCAACTTCAGCAGCGGACTACATCAGCTGCTGTCTCTCCGTCCTATTCTTCCTCATCCCCCACGCCAACAACTAACACCGATCGCACTCCCGAATTCACATCACCACCACCATAGTCCTCCTCCTCCCCCTCCTCCTCCATTGTCTTAACATTAGCTGCGCCGGCTCCACCACTGCACACAATCCTGACACGCCGACGAACATCAGCCTCCCCACCGTCGACGCCAGCGATGTGGACTCGGTCCATACCTGTCGTTATTGCGATCGCAACCTCACCTCACACATAGGCCTGGTCGGTCACTTGCGAATCCCTCGCACAGAGACTGGCGAACCGGTGCCCGGAGAACCAACGTACACCAGACACATTCGCCTCAACTTCCCTCACTGCACCCGTACATTTACCCTCCGTATGGACCTATTGGGCCACATGCGCATTCATGAAAACCTGCGGTAGACAACCGCCGGTTACACCACACTATCACATCTTCCCCCACCTACATCACAAAACACCATCACCCCCCACAAGCATTCAACCGTCACCTCCTACGCAAGGGGGAAGTGTGCGCCTCGGCTCCGTCTCCATGCAGCTTCTTTGCTGTATGCGTGATTCGAGTCTGAGACTGTCATGGTGCGTCAAGCCCCGTGGATTGGAAGGCTGCTGACTGACGCCCCAACTCAATCCACGCAGTCTGCCCAGCTGTGTGTTTGTGTGGATTGGCGGAATAGTGGGCCGAGAAACAAGCTGAAACGGCTCCTTCTTAGTGTGACCTATGGCACTCACACATGCGAGATGTACGCTGCCCAACCCTCGTTGTTTGAAATTCTGATGCTTGTGTTTGAAGGGGAGGGGAGGCAGGTCGCGTATGTGGCGCGCACAGACAAGGTCACTAGATATGTAGGCCGCCGCGCCCATTCGCCGCATCAGCCAATTGACCGATTCGAACAGTGGCGGGGCCTGGGAATGGGAAGGGAGAGTGAGGTCAACGACTCAGCGCATTTTCCTCATTATAAACGATCTAACACGCTTGAAGATATCACGGTGCGCCAAAAACCGTGGCTTAAAAGGTTGCCGACTTTGACCTCGCAATCGGCTCAGTTCAATAGTAGTGAAAATGCGATTCCCAGGAATCGCATTTTCACTACTGTTGATGTGAATTACGGGCGCGAAGCGCTTCAACTGGCTCGTCGTTGGGAAAAAAGTGTCCTCAGATAGGCCTCGACCTATGCACAGCTCCATTTCCTTCACAACCTGTTAATCGGCTCAGTATTGTGTGTTTGTGTGGAGTGGTCGACTGGTGATTTAAGAGTCAGGCCGCAATGACTCCTTCTTAATGCGGCATTTATGGTACTCCCATTCCGTGGGATCCGAGCCGGGTGTGGGCGGCACGCCTAGACGGAACTTCGGCCGCTCAGGCCCCTTATTTTGTGGTTGGTTAAAATCCTGGTCATTTGTTGTTTGGACCAATGGTGTTGATTGAAGCACCAAGGTGCGGGATCGACCGTGCCAGCTACCTGAGCCCTCACTCGCCCCCGTCTCCTTGACTCTGTCTTTACACCGGGTCCAGGTGGGGGAGGAGAGAGTGCGATAGGGGCTGTGCCAGTTCACTATCGCTATAAACTAAGTTGAGCACAAGTCGCCGTCCATCCTGCACCTGGCTGTGGAACACATGGTGGACATCGTCGGCAAAGACGGTCGAACTGTCGTCTCTTGTCTCAGATGGTGGCCGGGGTTATAAATAACCGAATTAAGGCATAATAAGTCCAAAACTGCTCTGCATGGAGCAGCTTTTCAATTTCCTCAGAAATAAATGGCTAACTTGTAGTAACTCAGTCTATTTAAGACTTATAGTCTCAGACTTAAATGCGATATGAATACTTAGCTGCAGTCCGTCAGCCAGAGCGGAATGACCGCGTAATAAACTGCACACAGGCAGACAGTAGTATATACATAGGTTATTCGATGCGCCATATTTGGCAGCACGGGTACCAGCTAAAGGCCCAGACACGCGTTTCACCGATATTTTGTCGTAGCATGCACAGCTGCGATTTCAAAGCTAGAGTATCTACCAGAGAGCACACGTCAAAAGTCAGGAGGCACGGCTGTGTCATGCAGCGGCAGAATATCCACGAACCACGTGTCCGGGCCTTTTGCTAGTACCCTGTGGTGTCACGTATGATATATCATGGAATGATAAACGAAATTCTGGAATGTTTTTTTTTATTTGGAATGATGGCCTAAGTGGGGCTGTGATAGCGATTATCTTGCAGCATAACCCACAAGATATTTCAGTCACATCAGGATGCCGGCTTCTGAATGAGCTTGTTTTCGGCCGTCTGTAAAAACTACACTCTGTCAAAAGTGACTACTAGGCAGTACGATTTTCCCATTGCCTTTCAATGCTCCCTATAAATTCAGCTATATTCGATGAAAAACTTGTATAAGATATCCATTCTTGCACTTATTTGCTGGACAATTACGTCTTTTTCAAATTTTACAGTCAAAGAAATGGTGTCTTTTGGTTTTAAAATGTCCCTAATTACGAGATTTCTAAGGACTGTGAAATACCCATTCATACAACATCGCATCAGTACGTTTATAAATGCAGCTTATAAAGTATACAACCTGATCGAAATACATTGCACATTTCATTAATGATAGACGACATTTTTATATCAGCATAGGGAAATTAGGGATATTCTTATGACGGAATGTTTACAGTATGTAGTTTGATACCCTGAATGTAAGTTTGGCTACAGGTAGGATTTGAAATTATTCGGAAATTGAAAAAGTCTTTAAAAATCAAAAGATACTTTGTCTTCAAGTATGAAACTTGAAGGAGGCATGATTTGCTACCACGTGGGTACAAGAAGGAATATTTTTGTTCATGATGTCTGAAGTAGAGTTGGATGTGAGGCATTGAAATCAATACGAAACACACATAGTACTTAAATAGTCATTCTCACACAGTGTAGCTTTTGCCGACTCCGAAAGGAAGCTCATTCAAAAACCGACATCCTGATATAACTGAAATATCTTGTGGCTTTGCTGCAAGATAAGCAGTATTACAACCTCACTTAAGTAATCTTTCCAAATCGAAAACAAATTTCGGAGTTTCGGTCAGCATTTAATGAGATAGCACATGTATGTACTGTACATATATTTTGAATAACGGAGGTAGTACGCACTCCGAGACGATATAATGGAAGGAGAAGTCTCGATCGAAAATCAGGTTGTACTCGGGAATTTCTAAGCTGGTTACACCAACCCGTCGTCAGACGAAATGAATAGAGGGGAGAGGGCTAATCTCACTAGAGAGCTGAGGAGACATCGAGGTTACTTCAGCAAAACAGACGTCCATGTGAGCGGGTGAATAGCGTGTTTAGATAGACGCCGAAAGTTAGGGGAGGTGTTGAGGGCCTAGGTTACGGTTCACTGTGTCGGTTAGGTGCGGACTCCGTGGTATTCTACATGGTCTTAGGGTGGGCGCAAGTCAGTGGGCCGTGAACGCAAACCTTCGTAGTGAGCGGCCGGATCACTTCAATCCCATCCCAACCGAATCAGTGATCGGACTCAAGTGCGTGCGCAAATACGAGAGGCAAGGGGCCCCGTCGGCGAATAGCCAACTTATGTTCGTTGATGCGGGTCACAAGTCGTCGGCCGGTAGCCCAACATAAACGCAAGAGCAGTTCGCCCATGGAATGCGGTAAATGACATTTGTTTGCTGCTCCTTCGGTATGGGGCCTCTTACTCGGGATAATGCTGTGCACAGGGAAGACGCCGGTTTGTGGACGATGGAGATGCCAGACAATTTAATTGCCCGGCGATTGTTTCGGAGATTCTTGGCATGTAGAGCAGTGAGTTGAGTTTTCGTGATACCCTGTGTCCGTCAGAGTCGAAGCTTTGTGGTTGTCTCTGGTGTCTGAGACAGTTTTTTATAAAGCTCATCGGCTATCCGTTGAGTCCGAAAAACCGACACATATAAGCCAGTTCCTTCTTGAGTAAATCCTCATTATTGCAGTACCAATAGACTCGGTGGAAAAAGGGTCGAACCTAGCTTCTTTTGTGGGTCGTTTAGTGGTTGCTCTGATAGTTATAGATGATCCCGGAGTCCGGGCCTTTCTGGTGAACGCTTGTTACGAGGCCTCCGTCACTGAGTTCATGCATACTCGTGTCTATTAACGGGAGGTTGTCTCCTATTGCCTTTTCGCAGGTAAATTATAGAGCTGGGAAGGCGCCATTCAGGCTCTCGTGAATCCGCTCAACTTCACAGGTCTTTCGAGGACGAATGTGTCATCAACGTATTTGGGCCGCATTTTGATCGAACGGTTTGCACAATATCCTCTTGTGGTCATTGTAATACTAGTTTTGCGAGTAGCTCCGAGATTGGCGAGCACATTGGGGTGCCCTTAACCTGTTGTTAATACTTGTCATCGAATTGATAATAGTTAGTGAGGCAGAGCCTAAGCATTTCTAAGACGCGTTGTATTTCAGAAGATGAAGGAGAAGATGTGATCACTGAACCAAGAAGTTTATTGGTCTGGCGTTTCGGATTCTCACTCGAACCCACCATCAGAGACGGTCGCGGAAAAGGGTAGTGGAGGCACAGAAGACTGCAGTATTTGTAGTACGTAGCGGCCGTGGGGCCACATCCTACTTTAATTAACAGTTCTCGTGATCACGGCTGGGGGTCGTAATGAAAACGATGATGGTTCGTCAGTCCGCGTCCTAGTCGTTAATTGCCGCAATTCAACCACCCGTTTTGGATGTTGACTTGGTGATGACTTGGAAATTTGGCCCATTGTCACCAGGATAGTTGAGCGCCCGCGCCCTCCCCACGTGACTGATTCCTCTGCTCAGGGAATGTCTCAACACTAAATATGGTACCGGGAGGTCATTGCGCTCGTTGATGTACTGCAGCCCCGAGAATCATGATTCAGGCAGTTCGCGGCTCACGCGGTTGTCAGCTCTTGGGAGGATTTTGGCCTCTTGCAACTTGAAAATTTAGCTGGGTTCCGTGGAATGAGCTGCTACCTGAGAGCTGCCGTCTTTCCATCTCACCGCTGCTGCGTGCTCAG